AATGTTTTGTAATCCTTCAAAGAAGGAGGTCAGCTTTCACCTGATAGCTTTGGTGTATGCTCGACCAGGCGAAAGCAAGTGGCTCTGCCGATGACTTGACAAGGCATATCCCTCTCCACGAGAAATCACGCGCTCAGGCTCGAACAACTCTATTTCTATTGCAAGCAGTGGATGCACCTTCTAGCAGCCTCAGCTGAATGCATACAAATTTGGGTGCAGCAGCAGCAGTCAGAAATGGCACTAGTATATAAACGAATAACATCCGATATACCCGTCTGTTGTTACCATATTCAAAGGCCTTGGTGGATCTTCTTTACCTTCTCATCCTGCCTCTATCTCTACAGCTATCTGCTAAAAGGACTGTGACTTGCAACTCAACAACTTCGTCTCGGTGTCCACCCCTCCGTCCGACCCAGACACTGTGCCACTTGGGTGAGATCTCTCAGATGCGCCAAAATATCTCGAGTGCAAAGCCTCAGTTCCCGGCGTTCAAACAAAACGAAAACACAAACCCACATAAATCATCTAAATTGCTGGTGATGACTGCGTCCGATAGAAAAAGACATTCAACGCTTGACCAAAACATGACTAGACTCGATCCGTGTTTCATGCTCTAATGGTGCTTTCTACTTTAAGTGCTTGTTTTCTGCTTGCGGAAGAGGCTGAGCACAGCACGCAGCTCTGACCGACCGATTGTTTGATATCTCAGCGAGGCCAAGAGTAGGACAACCGGGTGTCTCAAATGGACAAACGTAGAAGTTGATCTTCGGGAAAATGTGAGAAGGTGATCACACGAAACATATCCTAACAAAATGGTTGCACGTTGTATGTTGTGTATCAGTGTCTCAGGCTCAAATTCTGTCACTAGTAGCGATGTCCTTGCTATTAGTAGCGATGCACTTTGACCTGAAATTCTCCTTTTTGTCATCATGTTTGAACCAAGGCCACGGCACGCTCTTCTTCTGGCACATTAACTCAGTCAGCATGACAGGTCTTCGATTGTTACTGTGTTGCAAGGAACATGTCTGTCTGGAATGTCATTCCTATGTCAAGAGTTCTAAACCCTTACAACAGGATTGTAGTGCAAAATCAATTTAGGTTTAAAACATCAGGTCAGAAGTAATCCTTCATCATCAAAACACTCTATTATAAGCTGTCAAATTGTGAGCTCTATGCCACAGCACTAACGACATAACCAAATTTGAAATACCTATATAAGGACCTAAGGATCATTTCTATCTACTCCGACTTGTTTAAGTCACAGGACCAAGGAATACGTCACGAATCTAAAGAATCTTGTATCAGCTAAGATCTTGCTAGACATCATTGGACAGCCCACAAAGGCACTAAAAATTGCCCAAACCCCGATGTGAACGCATCTGGATCCACAGGAACAAGAAGCTACTAGTAACAAAGGGCATCGCTACTAGGGGCAAGGACGCTACTAACTAGTAGCTCCTGGCCTTACTACTAGTAGCAAGAAGCTACTAGGAGCAAGGGCATTGCTACTAGTAACAAAGGGCATGACTACTAGTAGATACTTGTAGCATTCTTGCTACTGGTAACAAGAAGCTACTAGTAGCAAATTTGCTACTCCTGTGGGCGACGAACTCGATCACCAGGGCACCCTGACGTCCATAGCGTTTGGGGTCGCAGGAGGTCACCGCGGCATTGATCTGGCGTTCGTCTCTGAAGAAAAGCATGGCCAAGTGGGCCAAGAGACTATGATGGAATATGAACACATTGTATAAATAAATATGTATATACTGTATGTATAGTTATCTATATGTACAATAAATATATACATATGTGTAATACTCATATGTATACATATTATGTATACAGTACTGTATACATGATATGAACTGCACCGTGGCGCTATGGCGACTCTACAAGGATCAAAGAGGTAGGTAGCCGAAGATGCAACTTCTTGCACGAACGCTCCGTGCACTGTTGTCGCCTTTAGTGCAGCAGCACCCAACCAAGCACCAGCAGAGAGGACATGGCCCACACAAACGAAGTTGTCCTGAAAAGCAACGAAGAAATCAAGCCATGTGGATGCGCTTTTCACACGCATCCTGTGAAAAACCATGGAGAGGCCTTTTTCTAACACCACAGACTCAGGTAATTACAACGAAGCTGGATTTTCCAAAGTTAAGACTGAAAGGCTGAAAGTATCTGAACATATCATCTGAAAGTGGGTAGCTGAAAGCTTGGTCGACTTTCCCTCTGCTCCTCATCCTCTTCCCCAAACCTTCGTGTACCGCCCCTTAGAGATCCATCAACGGCTTGGGTGGCTTGAGTGGCTTGATCAATCAACTCAGCGATTTAAAACACACTAGGAGAAGGTCCAAAGATGGGGATAGGGTCGCTTTCTCCTTCAAGGGTAAGATCTGTGAACCTTTGTTCAAACCGAGGGGCATCTCACAACTGTCTGTTGTTGGAACAGGTCGTCATTCATGGTTGTGCTCTTGGAAAGAAACATGGACATGTATTGTGTCATTGATACTATTTCTACATACAAGAGCATACAAGTGTAAGTCATTCGCACATGGACTAAAGCTGCATTCTGCAAGAACATAGATTCATAGACTCTCGTCCTTCAGACTTCAGATATAGCTCCACAAGTGAACAAAGAATGCTGAGCTTTCTGCGTAATGAGCGGGAAAATGCCCTTATCTGACAGCTGAATGCTTTCAGAAAGTTTGCCGTACCTGTGCTGCAAAAATTGCCAACTTGCTTGCAGCTGCAAGCGCAGCTGCATCATAAACTTCAGGGACGTGCTGACTTTACTGAAGGGACATGTTCGGTTTGTTAATCACGTCTTGCCACTGCCACAAGCCCCAGCCAGACAGACTGGAGGATTCCACCAGTCACCTTGCTGGGTCGTTGAAAACGATAGTCACGCTGGCCTCAGGCGTCAATTCGAAATGTGTTGTTACCCAATATTCAATGGCTTCCAAATGCACCACATTCTCACACAAATGTTTCAAAAGAAAACCAAGATTGAAGGATGGCAAACCGGCTGGGCAGTCCATCTCCATGTGGCTAATCACTCCAGCTGGTGACAACGTTCCCAAGGATCACATGAGATAGGCCGCACCGACAAAATCCACCAATCTGAACGTCTAGCTCAAACCGTCGCCGTTACCTTTTTCGCTGAGCCTCTTTGCCAGTACTGTTGTAGCACTTTCAAAAAGATGTGTGCAGGTGAACCCCAAAGGCCCAGGCTTTCAAGCAGACTAAGCTACTGTCATCGCTCAAACCTGGTGAATGTAGCCCTCTTTACTAGCCTTGACTGCTTTGCTCAGCTCTGGGGCCAGGGGCCAGAAAAAGCAGAGCAGCGCTGAATCCAGCAAGTTGAAAGAGTTTCCTGCAGCCGAAGCGGAGTGACATGGACTTCCCTTCCTTGGTCAACGGTCCTTTCCAGCTCGCGTTCGAAGGATTCCAAATGGAAACAAGGACTCGAAAATATTTCAGAAATTTTTATCTGAGCTGTCATCTGACTGATTGAAAGTTCGTCTAAACTTGGCAATGGCAGTCAGTACTTTCCACAGCGGTTCCTTGCGCCCAGTTTGCCTGAATTAGTACAAAAATATACAATGTACAAAGTCAAAGTACAAATTTTGGCATTGTTATTTGAAGCCTGTGGAAACAAAGCTGTGAGCGAAGGCCTTGGTTTGAGCACCCGTCCTAAACCGCCATGGCGGCGCATCGACACTGGGACTGATCACCTCCTGCACACCACGAAAACGGGTTCCACCGGAATCTTGCAGGCTCGGTCGTTGACCCGGATGGCTTTGGGCATGGTGCATCACGCGTGAGTTCCATTCCGAAGAAAAACGAGGACCTTGTTCGAACCGCGATGTGTTCACCCCTTTGGAATGCAGCGCTGGTCAAACAAACCACTGGTCAGGACAACATGCGACGAGTCGCTGTAATTCTGTAACACAGTGATCCAAACTACTGATGGTCAGCGAGCCAGCAAGTGGGCAAAGGCCTGCAAAAAGCCATCATCCTCTTCCATTCGTGCATGTGGCTCTTGCAAGAGTATGTCTGATTGGTCTATATACAGTATAGAGGGTTCACATTTTGCTGATGCGATTGTCTCTGTTCGGAGCCCAGAATATTCGTGGGACCGAGCCCGAGCCATTGGTTGTGTATAGATCCAGATCCTGTTCTTGATTGGTCTGCTTACAGTGGGATGCTTGTCAGTGCCTCAAGGATCCCTTGAAAAACGGCAGTGGCAGCTGTGTCCTACAATGTCCTACAGCACTACAGCTGCGGAGACAACAGCGGATGAGTGCACAAACTGTTGAATGGCGCATGACATGCGCATGGGCAGGAGAAAGGAATCAATCTACCAAAAGGAGCAACGAAGCGTAGTGCATGAAAGCTTTTCTCCTTGCAATCTTCACTCCTTGCATAGCCGGAGCCGAAGCCTGGGCGTTGAATTCCTGAGCTCTGAGAAAGCAACCAAGTATCCCCTGCGGTAGCTCTCAGGGCTCAGGAGCAAGCGAATTCGTGAAATGATCATCTTCTCATGTCAATATCGCATTTCAAGTCGCTTACACTCTGCGGCATATCGCAATACATGTAAAGTTAAAGCATCTTTAGCTCTACCATGGCACAACTCGATTGAAACTACATACCATGCAAGCGGACTTGAAATGCGAACATGCACTAGGCATCGTTTGCATGCTCCAGTTCAGGGACGGCCAGGTCAAACACCGCATGCCGTACTGCAGTGCAGTACAGTCGTCGCAACCGGCCAGCATGCCATGAGACGTGCCAACAAGGCTACCCCGCACATTTAGTCGCGTAATATCAAAACCATTCAAAACCCTGTGATGAAAGGTATGAACGATATTTAATAAAACGAGTCAACCACCCACCTACCACAACTCGATCTTGTTTTTGGCCTGCACTGGATTTTCCTGACGTTTTTCTCAAATGAAGGGCAGGCCTTTCTGGGATGATCTGCTTGTCTGTGAAACAAATCAGCACATGCTCAGATTGGCCATCAAAGCATCTTGGGCATGCCTATTCTGAAGTACCTTGTTGCCGGCGGTCCACTGGTCAAGGCCAATTCCGTGTGGGTTCTCTGAACCGACCTCTTGAGGAGTGACTGGTCCAAAACCAAAGGCTATGCTACCATCTCATTTCTATGATTAGGTGCGTATCTAGAAAACATACATAAGAATGAGAAAAAAAGAGAAAACAATATATATATAGATATATGCACATACAAAATATATATATATAAATGCGTACAATATTATATAATATAATATACTGTGTAGCAAGCATTTGTCGAGCGATCCCGTGCCCTTACGGCGCATCAGGTGTGTTTTCCAGAGTCAACCGAGAGTTGTGACTTGGGTTGCTATGTGACAGGAAATACTGCAACTCATCAAAGCTCTTGCAATCAAGTCACAACCAAGGAGAGCAAATGGTCCAAAGGCAGAGTTTGCCGACAAATTTCACCAGTACCATCCCTGGCGCGCAACCAAAAAGCAGAACAAAGGACATGCATTATAAATGGCATGCTACTCACCCACTGTTCCTCATGATCATAAGTTGCACTACGTAACACAACAACAACAACAACAACAACAACAACAACAACAAGTCCTTGGCAGTTGGCAGTTAATTTTCTCTGGCAGCTGGTTTCAAAAGCGGCAACCCAATGGCACCATTTCCAACAACAGAACTGCCGCAACTACTCTCCCTCTCTCTCTCTCTCTCTCTCTCCATGGAGTCTCGCGGAAGGACTAGGGATCAGGGACAAAGACCACCTGCTATGCCGACATGCGCATGTAGATTCAGGTTTAGATTATATTGATGTTTTTAGACCAGATCTCCAGATGTGACTCCGACCCTTTGCCGCTTGACCTCCATTTTTGGGTGCCTGGGTGGCGCTCCATGGCCATCCAAGGCCGCTAAGGCCATGAGTGGCTCCGAGATCCAAACACCATCCGAGCACCTTCGAGTGGCGTTTGCGTCGTTGGTATGCCAGGGATTCCATCTCAGAAGCTAGGTGTCTTTTGTCATGGTTCATAGTCAGGGTTGAATACTGGCCAGGGTTGTCAGGGATTCTTGGAATGGTGGTCCTTTGTTGGATGTTGCGCCAGGATTCTTCGGGCCCCAAGGCCCCAAGGTGAGGCACAGCGCGCCAATGTCCCTCAAGCTAGAAGATACTAGTAACAAGGGCATCGCTACGAGTAGCTCCTGTCAATACTACTAGTAACACCCTTACAAAATCACCACTGATGTCCGGTGCAACAACTGTTCAACTGGTTCTGTTCCAAATCAACACGCCTTTCGTTGTTCCATGTAGTAAAAGGCCCTGTTGCAGCTGAAGTGAAGGCCCTTACTAGAATCTAGCTGGTTTTCGGAACCAGTGATGCACAAGACACCAACCAATTCCACCGCTATTCCTAAGATAGGGCTGGGCAAGACGTAACATTGCAAGACAAAAAAAAGGAATACAGTAAATAAACAAAACAAAATCAACTTAGAAGTGCAGGATTTCAGAACTTGATCTACTGACCTCTTCCAGCTCAAGGAGTGTTTCCTCACAAGCTGCCCACTCGTTGTCTTAGCTAGGGACTCTAGGGGTGGTGGAATGAGGATTCGCTGTGTTGATTTCAACTCAAATAATTATAAACAAATTTATATAAATATGGTGCATCAAGAATTGGGGGAAGTCTGGAGTCTGGAGCAACACGATGTCGATATATCTACTGTAGAACTGTAGAGTAGCTGAAATGCATGGTGACATTCCTATAAATGTGCAACATATGTCTGGACGACTATGAGATTCTTGGTATGATGGTCATTATGCTGTCTTGTCTCTCTTGTTCCCTGCCGAGATTGCCTCAGTTGCTCCTTGTCCACCTGAAACAAAATGCATACAACATGTGCAAATTCAGCAGCTCTATTTACGATTACACGAGTCATATATTTGCAAACAAGCGTGTTTAGTCCCTCTTAGGTTCTTTTACAGCTGAATGATTGCAGTATCGTGCCAGGTTATTTGATATAGCGACAGAAAAAGGCATTTGACATCTCTAACACATCTCCAATCTAGCACGACATGCTAAGCTCAAAACCTGTCTGAAAGTTTGCAATCTGAGAGTCAGACTACCTCAGTCCACGGAAGCTCTTTGCCCAAGACCTCATAAGCTCTGCAGGAGCAAGTGAGATTCAACCTTCACATCCTCCTGCAAACCCCAGACCGGTCTTACACCCAAATGTGATGAGGATTCCTGTGCCGGGCTCATAAGGAGCAGCTTCTCAGGGTCTATTCACAAGTAAGGTGAACCAAACCAATAGCCATCAGGGACGTGGATTCAGAATCCACATTTCAGTCAACCAAAGCACACCATCACACCAAATGGCCGGCTCTAACCATCCCAAGAAAGTCCCACGGACGAGGCCTCCTTATGCACACTTCGAAGCTGCTCGCAACCCTGTGCCCGGTCCAACATCATTGCAAACTGTTCATGCTCGGTCCAACCCAAGTGTCTTCTTCGGATTACGAAACATACTGGACACACAGTCTCTTGTTGAAGAGTGGTGGGATACCTGCTCCTGCTCTACATAGTGTATCTGGATCTCCATAGGTCAGCACAAGCAGTGGTCACAACCAGTTTTGCTTTCATGAGTCCTGATGTTCACAACGACGACAACCGTGATGGGTTTCACCGTGCACGTGCACAACGACCATTCCCACGTGCACGCCTGTGCTTTGAACAGTTGCTTTGCTCCATCTGAGATGTCCATGCCTTCGGAAGGAAACGACTGACGAACACAATCGGAAAGGCATGGATTTCGGTTTTGCAGCTTTCGACTGGCGTGTGAAACGGGGGTAGAGGACGCTACGAACGGGGCTCCTGGCATCGCTACGAACGGAACAAGGACGCTACTAGGGCCTACGGGCTCCTGGCCTTACTGCTAGGAGCAAGGACGCTATGAACGGAGCTTTTTCCTCAAATACAGCTCCGCAAGGTGTTGGCATAGCTAGTCAATGCCAAGGAAAAAAACCGCGCAAGTCGCTCGTGACTTCACCCATCCCAAATCCCAAACGCTGAACCCCCAAGTTGTGCATCTACCTCAGCGGGCCTGTCGTTGCACAAACCACACTTGCAGATGCCAGCATTGCCTAAGAAGGTTTGAGCCTACAAACTCCTGAGGCCCCAAAAATCCAATCCACATGCACACAAACCTGCTTCAGGTGAGTGTCGGATCTTATCCATAAGAATCGTATGTTCACACGATATGTTCGCCAGCTGTCTTGTCGGGTGCAAACCGCTCTGTCCCACACCTGCGCAGACCCCAAACATTGAGCAAACTCCTGGCAAAACTCGTCACTGGCCCAACTGTTGGCTTCTCGAGGCTCGCGTGGCATGGAAGAAACAAAAACACAACAGGTGGGTATGTCTCTTAAAATAAGATCCGGGGGACCAACGCCCCTCCTCTTCACACGCCGCTCCGATGTTCACCACAGTGAGGGGCCTTCACGCGCCGCTTCAATCGGTGTGGAGGATACTTTTAGAAGGCGCCGCGGGGAGCCACCCATATGAGGTGCGGTCAAAATTTATTAGGTGCAGCTGTTGCATCCTCAGATTTGTCTGTAGTCCTCACAAATTTTGAAGGCACTTCCTTCATATGTAATTATTTCAATTTGTCAGTTAGGCCCTGGCGCTTGCTCCGTTGCCAACGCTGGCACGAAGGTCACTTGGAGACATCCTAATCCTCAGAGCACAAGGACATCGTTGGCCAAGACATCGTTGGCCAAGTAGGATCAAGTCCGGCATCACACTGTGACAGGATTTTACCCCAAGAAATGCTTGGAGAGTCTGGCAGCGCACGCAAAAATTCCCAGCTCCCCAGGGCCCTGGGCTGCATTCCATGCATTCCCAGTCATCCAGGCGCCACTTGCTTCGCTTCCAAAAGACCTGTCAGCTTGGGAGCGAGCCGGGAAACACACAGAAGCCAGCAATTGCTTTGTGCTCGCATCATCTCGCATCCAGATTATACCCCGATGTACCTGAAAAGGAATGCGGAGCTACTGTACCAATGCTAAATTTGCTGTGCAAGACCAATGATGAATGATGCTTTGGCGACCCACACCTAACATCACCCAATCCAAGGCAGCTGCCGCATTGGCCAGTTTGGAGCCCTCCATCTGCTGCACTGGTGCTGCACACCAATCAAAATCCTGGCAAAGAACCCGAAAAGGATCTCAAGGAATTGATTGATGTGCCAATGTGGTCTTGTGTATATTGCTGTTGATGCAGCATCGCAGGGCCCAAGCTATGGTTGTCCTCCTTACAGTATGTTGTGGTGACCAGGCCATGTCTGAAATGGTTTTCTGCTTGCAGCTGCTGCATTGAGGCTGGCAAGTCGTGCCCAACCGTTCAACTCCAGCTTGTCAGGAGCACCTCCTCCTCAAGCCGCGAGATGATGTCACCCAACCTGATATTCAACAAGAGAATCAGAAGTAAGGCACCACATCTTGCGAATGAAATGGAGATCAACCTGGGCAAATAACAAAGTCTCAGCACCAGACAAAGGACCTGTAGAGGGGATTGAGCCAACCTGACAAAACCAATTAGGATGCTTTTGGCTTTACACCTGCTGCAAGCATGCTGCCATGGTTTGATCATGCAAAGTCTAAAGGTCTAAATATCAAAATGTCGTAAAGTCTAAAGGTCTAAAGCTAGTAGCGAACCTTGTTCCTAGTAGCGCCCTTGTTACTACTAGTAAGGCACTTGTTTCTACTAGTAAGGCACTTGTTACTATGCGAACTCTCTCAAGAACAATCCATACAACTCCGTTCTTTTGAATTTATGTTTCGAAGTTACTCATTTCCACAATAGGTTCCAATTTCAGGTCGAGATTGCAGTTTGCGCTAAAAGCGGGCTTCATGAGAATGATCTCTTAGGGTGGTTCGAAACTACCAGTGATTGTGAGAATTCAGGAGAATTCGGTTGCAGGCTGTGGCAACCAAAATTCACGGGATCGCAGCTAGAGCGATCTGTTGATCTATTGGAGCAACCGTGTACTGTTGCAGCAATAAAGCTGCCAAGTAGTGTCCTGCCGGGAAAATCGCTATTCATTCCTTCGGTGGTTGCTCACGATTGGTGACGACCAATTCACAGTGCAGTACAGTAATTAAAGAGTTGATCGGTTTTTGTAGCTACAGAGTACAGGTCTCGGGTCAAATGAAAAGAATCATTGTCAGAGTGGCAGCCTGGCAACGTAAACGCTGGCAGTAATATTGCACTGATTGGTTCGTGATGTTCCGTGTACCAAGCTGTGCCAATGAAGCTGTGCCAATGCAGCTGGCACATTGGCAAATCTTGGAGTCGCTGAAACCACAAAGTTGTCGCGGCAGCTGCGGCAGCTCAGAAGTGCTGCAAAGTTGCGAGAGGAGTCTCAGACTTCATCTTCACCCCAGGTTTGTTCTTTACTCAGATGTTCACGATGTTTCTCTTAACACTACTGAGGTCCCTGCTCGAAACAAATCAGCACCTGGCGCAGAATTGAAGAATGATTGAAAGTAATGAAAAATAGGCACCTCCACCATCCTACACCATCCCCACTTAGTTACCTTAGTTGAGAATCGCTGGCCCCAGGAAACATTCTAAGGAGCAACCTGCGACAACCCGTTGCCCCTGCGCATCTGCCCATCTTCAAAACGGCGAACCTGGCCTTGACCTCCGTTCCTCTCCAAGCTGCAAACTGATGATGTCAACTCAGCCTGATGGGCAACAGCTTGGCAGTGGTTCATTCAGTGGAAGAGGCTAGTGCCACGTGGAAGAGTCTACAAAAGAAGTGTTGAGGAGAAACACCCATCGTGGCGTGGACTGAAAAGGCCATGTGTCACTCGCATGTCATTTTGATATATTGGCCGTCTCATGCGGAAGAAGCACACCTGCATCAAGGTCAGCGACTTCCAGGTTCACACTGTCAGCGATGTTCCAGGATGTGCCAGCGACTTCGCAGCGTCATGTCATGGCAGCGACTTCGCAGGCTCTGCCTCCACATGCTGCAGGCAAAGAATGTCAGGTGAGTACCTTGCACATAAATGGCACACAAATCAACGTTGACATTGAAAAGGCCTTCGTGAAAAGTTGTGTCTTACGTCGACTTCGTTGCAGCACTCCGTCAATTCTGGTGGATGCACAACAAGTGATGTAGTGATGTTGACATATGCTGCTGCCTCTTTGGGATGGAGAGTCTGGCTATGCGCAACATGATCTCGGTCACGCCAGGAGCTGCCGCAACACCCGAGACCGCCACCTGGAGTTGAGGAAAGCGATCCGCGCGGCGACTAAGCAGGAGACGTTGGAAATTGGATGGGAAGAGGACAAAAGAAGGTTTGGATCACAATAAGTGTGACAAAGGATCCAAAGAAGGGTTTCTAATTACAGGAAAGATACAGGTTTCCTTGAGAACACACTCCACATCTTCATAGACACACTCCTACCTCGGGGGCTCCCCCAAACCAACATTTAATGGTTACTCTACTGATTTGCTCGTCCTCCTCTTGGATTGCTCATGCTCTTCGTATGTTTCTTCTGCCTATCTCAATTGGATTAGTGTCACTATTTACATGCTAATCCTCCCTTTGCTGAACCACAGTGTCTCCGTGCACAGCCCTTCCTTGTCTTGATGCATGCCTCCTCTTCTAGTTCTCAGAACATAAGAATCTCAACTAATGTTCTTCCTCTCCCAATTCAATGGTTTTCTCACTTTGTCAAGGAGCCTTTCTGTGTCTTGTGCTCCTGCTTTGCTTAAAAAGCTCCTTAAGAATAGCAAGAGCCGAAAAGGAAACTTTAAAGCCATCAACAAAACAGTCCAAAAACACAATTTGAGAACAGAAATTTTCTTAGCACCAGCTAGAAATGCCCATTTCAGACTATAGGGTCCTCTTGCGTAGGGATCCTCTAGCTGGCTCCTTCCAATCTTCTTTTTTTCAGCTCTTCTTCTGTAAACATCACGGTGCTGTTTAAGAGCGAAAGAAGAACAAAAGTGACGAACAAGCTTTTTCTAAGCAAAGAATAGAAGAACTCATTCAGGAGGGCAACAAGTAAGTGAAGATTGGTAGCAGTAAGTTGCAACTATCAAGGACTTTTTTGGATAGAGCTTGGAGCCCCAAACAAGCAAAGCCAGCTAAATAAGAGATAGGATAGTGCAATCAATTTAGCAGGAATTGTGCTGAATAGCAAGGGTAGGCAAGCGACCTGCAAGAAGTTAATCAAGCCATCAAGAAGAGAAATTTGCCAAAAGAGTAAGTAGCTAGCAAATCTCAGCATTGCCAAATATATACGTATGTATATATGTATATGTGTTTAACCCATGGACTGACACTTAGAATGTGTGTTTGGAAAATTCCACTGACCAATTGTCAGTTCAAAGACCACATTCTAACATTCTAACCACTGTTTGTTTTTGAAAAGTTGGAATCCGTTTCAAGAAACACAAGTATATGTATATATATATATGTGTATATATATAATATATACATATATTGTCAATTAATCATACATAATCATAAATAGACATAAATACGTAGCATAGCTACTTTACTTGAATTTCGGAAATAAAATTGCACATGTGCTGTTTAGATTAGATGAGGCAATCTTGCACCGAAAGGTGAACAAACGGAAAATGGACGAGACACATTGTACAAGACTGTAACCATGCTCCAGAAGCGTTAGGGAAGTGCCCAAAACACGATCTCGGCCCGAATTACCTAAATTTTGGAATCGTCGAGCACCCCGCTGCGGTCATGTCTCATCGCCTTTCCTGACAATCTTGGAATGCAGAGTTCAGCCGTTTGAGCCACGTAAACCAGAGTCCAAGCGTTGGACGAATGGTTCTGTCTGGAGTTTTACTGGATAGCCACCGCTGCTTTTGCGGACATCGACGAGTCAGAGCGATGCATCATCTCTGGCAGAGTGAGTCATTCTTCACTGTCTTCTTTTACAGCTGAGTTATACGCACTTTTGCGAGCAGTCGCAGGCTGTTCTTCACCGGTGCATGTATTCATTGACTGCTTGAGTGTCGTTGACATTTTTCATGAGCTCATCAGAACACAGGAAGTTCATCCACAGTGGTCGCATGGCCATTGGTGGCATCTGTTGCTCCAGATTTGGAAAGACCGCAGCTGTTTCTTCCACAAGCCAATTAAGGTTACTTGGATTCCAGCAAACCAGTCTGACGATGTCTTGCTGCAAGGAATCACACAAGATTTTGCAGAGGCAAGAGGCTTGAAGTTGCATCAGGCCCGTGGCAACAGGATTGCAGATAACACCGCTCGTGATCTTGCTTGGTCCCTGGCTCTGGGTACATCCAAAATTCTTTGATCAGTCACACGAGGCTTTCCAGCCTTAATTGCAAAATCGGAACGGATATATCGGTTCAAGATCGCTTAAAAACCAAGGACGGTATTCATGACACAACTCAAAGCTTTGACGTCCGTGCTAGGTTCCCATCATAGTGTTGGCAACTTGATGAGAGGTCCTTTAAATGGACACCGCTTTCCACTGCTCTCCTTGAGGAGACCTTGCGGAGGTCCTTTTTGGCAATCTCTCAAATGGATTCAGGGCGAGGACCATTCAGTTAGCTATGTTGAAACTGCTTTCCTTTTCTGCCGACAGAGAAGGACATTATCCAATCCCACTGGCAACTTGGTTCACGTCAAAAAGGTCTTGAAACCTTCAGCAAGGATCATATTCGCTTGTGCCGACCTGCAATTGATCCCAGGACTGCATGACTCTACCTGACCTGGGCACACAAGTGTGGCCGTGCCCTTCCTAAAGGGTCCATTAGGAAGGCACGGCCACACATGAGTGCTTCAGAGCTTGAGGCCTTTGCTTTCATTTTGCTTGACGGAAGGGATCAACGCCTGTCCATGTGGACATTTGATCCTCAGGCTTGCGAGAATTAATTCATTACATTTGTTGTTGCAAGACCAAAGAGTTTACAACAGAGTCTGTGTTTCACGCGACTTGGCCGATAGAACAAACGGAAAATGGACTGCCTGCAATTTCCGTGTTTTTACATTGCCGCGCAAAGACGCAAGAAACAAGAAAACTAAAACAAAAAATAGTTAAAAACAAATAACAAACAAAATTGCAAGCTTGCAAATCCAATGTGCCAGAAGTTGGAGCTGGGGTATGGGGTCTGCAGTCTCGATATATTTGGTTTTCTCGGTGTTCATGTTGGAACCCGGTGTTGATCCACAATTCGCTCTCAAATGAAAGTGTTCGGCTTCGGCGAACCCTTGAAACACTCCAAATGATTTTATGCCTCGTTATATACGCTAAGGCTTACAGACTCTTCACTTTTCATTGGTGTTTGCAGTACTCTTGCAACAAGTGTTCATGCATATCTTGTGGACACATGTACATTACGTACGTTACGTATGTAATTGCACTTTTGCACTCTTTTAGATAGCATGTGTGTGTATATATATATATGTATATTTGTATGCCCTCTCTCACATGATATAGTAGTAATTGTGCCTTTTTTACTTATGTGTGTCATTGTATGAGACTGACAAGAAACCGTGGCCCACAGGCGTCAGCCTTTGCTGCTCCAAGTTCGGCTCAAGGACCTCACCGGATGCGGTCAGCTCCAACGACGGCACCTGCGAGGTGTGAGGTCTACGCAGGCTTCGAGGTTGGGAAGTTCCAAGTATCGGATGCAAATGATGCAGATTCTAGTATATAGATTGATAATGATTGATTTGTAGCTTACAGTAGCATGGCTTTGTTTCCTACAAGTCAACGATCCCCTCAACAATAGAGCATCCTGGCCGAACCATGGACCCCTTGAATCATGTCAGAGATGTGTTCAAGGCTAATCCTCTCGTCAATGGAATACAAATTCTTGGTATGTCAACATGTTGCGGAAGAAAAAGAGCACAACGAAAGCACAATGGTGGTCTTGGCCAGTCAATCTTTCAAGGAGACCTATCCAAGGAAGCATTCAGAGCATGGAAAAAGTGACTTGTCAGTCAGGCTTGTACTGCAAGATTGGATGAATGGTCTTTTTGACAAATGTTCAAGTTGTTAAGACTTCACACGAATGGCACCGAATGTGAACATCTTTTCAGCTCGGCAACGAATGGCACCTCTTTGCAATGGAGGTTGCACGACAAAATCACCGCAGCATTCTCCGGTGCCGTTGGCCGCTCCTGGGATCCACTGGTGACCGCCGCGTTGGCGTTCGCACGTACTCATGGGTCATCACAATGCCATGGGTTTGGAGGGTTACTTTGGAACCCCAACATCTGAAGCTCCCAGCAGTTGTGACTTTTGACTTGGGATTGAAGATGACAAACAAACAACAACCCTGGAAAAAGGGATGACAAACACCCATATTGGTGGTAGTCAGCTTGGGGCTGCGGTTCTAAGATTGGTGTTCATGTATTTGTATGTGCGTTTTCTTTCAATTGCCGATCTCAAAAGCAGTAGCACTAGCAGGAGCAGGAGCAGTAGGAGTAGGAGTAGTAGCAGTAGGAGTAGGAGTAGGAGTAGGAGTAGTAGGAGTAGTAGGAGGAGTAGGAGTAGGAGTAGGAGTAGGAGTAGGAGTAGGAGTAGGAGTAG